CCCCAAAACCCCAAAACCCCTTAAGGTCAATATTTGCTGTTTAGAGTCTCAGTTTATAAGATATTTTACAAATATTATTATTGTTTTATAATTATTATAAATAAAGAGATATGATCTCAACTGTAGTAAAGTCACTCTTCATTGGAGCAATCTCTCTACCTGCGCTGATCTAAGCCAACTGGCAACTAGCATGGCATGATGAATTCGATGGAACACAAATAGACAAAAGCAAATGGAACTATGATATCGGCGGAGACGGCTGGGGAAACCAGGAGCTTGAATATTACACTGATAGAGGAGATAACTCCTATGTTAAGGATGGATTTCTTCACATCCAAGCAAAAAAAGAGAATTATGGTGGAAGACAATACACCTCGGCTAGAATGAAGACTCAAGGCAAGTTTTCTCAGAAATTTGGAAAGTTCGAGGCAAGAGCTAAATTACCCAAGGGTCAGGGTGTGTGGCCTGCCTTCTGGCTATTAGGAGATAACATCAGTCAAGTCGGATGGCCTGCCTGCGGAGAAATTGATATCCTTGAAGTAATTGGTAAGCAACCTACAGTAGCCCACGGATCACTGCATGCAAATGGCTTTGACACTACTAATGGTTATAATCACGCTTAAGGATTTGCAGATGATTACCACATCTATGGAGTAGAATGGCACTCTGGCAAGTTAAGCTTCTATGTTGACGGTAACACCTACTTCTCTGTTGATAAGAGCGCTTCTCACGGAGACTGGCCTTTCGATAGAAACAACTTCTTCATCATTTTGAACCTAGCAATTGGAGGAAACTGGCCAGGTAATCCAGACGGAAATACCCACTTCCCATCTCAGTTCATTATTGATTATGTCAGAGTTTACAAATACCAATAAGGTCATGCTGAAGTTGAAGATGAAGTTGAGGCATTGGAATTCTTGTAATGATGAAATTGATTGACTTGGCTTGGCATAATTAAGCCAGATTAGATATTAAGAGATTTCTATGAATTATTGATATCAAATAAACTTATTTGATTTTAAGATTTCAGATTCTAATTTATAAAATGGAATGAGGGGTTTTGGGGTTTTGGGGTTTTGGGG